TTATGATTATTGCAATTGATGATTTACCGGTTTCCTTTGAAGGTGTGTTCGCTTCCAACGGTGTCATTTTGTCCCCAATGGAAGTGAAATTGTTCTACGACATACTGACCCTGTAGAGGCCCCCCAGTCAAAAATGGCACGTCCTCATCTTCCGACCAGGTAGGATGTATCTGAACTAAAATTAAGAGCCACAGTAATCATCAATACTTGGAGCTGAATCCATGATACTCACTTGAATGACCATTGTTAATTATTCTCATATCATTAGGAATATTTTCATAATTATTCCAATGTAGCTCTTCAGGTTGCACTGTCACATAATCGCCATCACCTACCGGAATATCAACCGGTGATTGATTGTTACCATTACAATTTGGGTACAGCTGTCCCCAGGTCGAAGGCTCCTCATATGAAAAACCTGCAAATCGAGACTTCGATTATCGTAATTTGCTTTTTATTTTTCGAATTTTTGAAATTTCACCTGCTGATCTCACGATTCCAGAGAACGAAGCGAACAAAAAGATTTCTAGTAGCAGCAACATGTTTGCGGCGGATTAAAGTTAGAATTAGTTTGCGGTTGCAGATCACTTTGAAGACTCTCAGCTGCCCCAGGAACGCAGTCTTTATCTACCAAATAATTGCATGAATTTACATGATTTACTTATCCATTCGTTGCAATACAAAATGAGATAGGCAGGGTCATAAATCATCAGTTACTTGATTACGGAAATTTCTTACTTTTTGACACATCTCATGAATTTCAATTTCCAGAGAAAACTTTGATATTCGGCAGGTACAATGGATGTGAAATTAATGAGCGAGCATATCTACAATATTTCTTCCATCGATTATCTTCTAAGTGCATCGGTTTTAATGAGAATCTGTTAATTTTTCTAACGCTTCCAGAACGGCCGTGTCCATCCGGGAAAGAGTCGGTTATCTCGGCAGGAAAATTTTAAGTTCGAGGAAAATACTTCGGACATTCACACCGATGGCATCTCTGAGAGTCTTCACAAATGTAAAATAATATTTCGGACAGAAAATCGCGAGGTAAAGAGAAAACACATTTTCCAAGTTTCGAAACCACTGCAGTCGATTTATTCTTGTTCTCTCACAAATTGATTACAGAAGTGAATAATTGATAATTCAAAAATAAAAAGTACCCAATGTGAAGAGCCAATTGAAAACAACATGGACTAGTCCGCAGATTGAAGATGAATTTTCCCTGGGCAGTTGTAATTGTCGAAAATTTTTTTAGCAATTACGAATTTCAATATGAACGGTAAGAGGTGAATCGGCGATTATTCAGTCTCTGGAGAGGCCGGTAATTATGACGATCGCCGTGACGCAGTCTAACTAGCCGGATATCCCGCAACTGTTGATGAGAAAAATCGTAAGTGAGCTGCTGTAAAAATATGGTATTATCATTGAAATTTCATAAATTAATTGCACAAAAGCACCTCATTGTTGCTAATAGGAAACAAATTCAGTGCCACTAGCCACGTAGCTGCCTCATTACACGTAGGAGTTGTCAAAGATCCGAAGTAACTCATGTATCTGTGGGTGGGATTCAGAAGACCGAAATCAGATAGTGGGAAGGGACTCACTTGGACCGCAGAATTCTCCTGTCGAAGATTCCGGAGCTGTCTCCAGATTTGCTGTATTCCATTAGACGACCTACCTGTACTGGGCTACGATTTGATTATTTTAATTGTAAATTAAGATAATAGAATGAATTAAGAGTAAGATGAAAGTCCTACCTGATAAAGAGCAGCAATTACAGCTAATCCATCTCGTCTCTGCATAGCTGCAGCAAATGAGCCGTATTCCCGTTTCCAATGAACAATATGAAGTTCCATCGAAGATCTGTGGGGGTTTGTAAATGGATTGGAAGAAAAAATTTTGCAGTCAGGGAATGATTAACTCCTTGAAAGCAATGATGATGCTGATTATTATTATTTACCTTCCGCCTCTAAATGTATGTTCGCTTCCTACATTGTTATTTTGCCCCCAGTGAAAATGAAATTGCTCCACGACATATTGACTTCGGAGTGGCCCACCACTTAAATATGGTCTATAAGCATTATTTCTCCAGACGGGATGAATTTCGACTGAAATTA